TTCAGTCGAAGGCAAAAATGACAAAAAGGTATACTAGAAAGGCAACATTTGGAAAGCAAATGCATAATGTGAACCTTCGCATATGATCTGCTTTAATTTGTTAATGCTTACTCTTACGCTATACGCTATACTATATTCCTAAAGAGTACAATGGGGAGTTGTATAGTTACATACTATGCAGGTTCTATGAGTACTATTCAGAGTGTCGACTACATTACTGACTAAGACCTGTTATAATTCTACATGTAGGTGCTAAGCTACGTTATACTATATATATAGTTGATAAAGTATACAATATTGTTTTTTTTACATCTACCTATACAACTTTACATATTGACATGGTCGGGGACGGAAGTGCGAATAAAGAGATCGTCATCTGAGACTCCGTGGCTTTTGTTTGTTTGTGACTTTATTTATACTCGATGATATACTATATGTACAATATATATCACCCCATTCAGCCATGACGGCCGCTTTTCGTGGGGGTCGAGTTGGGAGGACAGTCAAGGGGTCAAAATTATAATGATAACTTAATAATTATAATAATAGTACACACACTTGTCGAGTTAAGAACGCGGCGGCAGACGTTCCGTACCCACACTGCCGTCCCTGAAGGAGAGGAGAGAGGCCGCTGCCGTGTCTCTTTTCAAGGCCATGCTGAATCCTGAACATCCCCTGCACGACCTGGTTCCTGCCCAGAGACAGTCTGTCACAGGAAGAGCACCAAGGAACGGTCACAACATCTCAGTTCCCTATGCAAGAACAAAACGACTGCAGCAGTCTTTCCTGTATTGCGCCATCAGACGTTACAATAACTCACCTTCAATAACCTGACTTGACTGGATGCAATCAGCATGGACATTGTGTATATTTTAATTACTTTGTATATGTCTTTGTATATACCTGATGTCCAACGGCATTCTGGAAATATTGTTATATCATATGTGAAAATCATAGCTCAGATGGTCATTACCTCCATGAAAAATGGAGGTATTGTTTTTGGCGTGTCTGTCTGTATGTATGTATGTATGTGTGTGTGTCTGTGTGTCTGTCTGTCTGTGTTTCCGCAACTTTGTGGTCAGCATAACTTCAGAACGCCTTTATGGATTATGATGATATTTGGTATGTTGGTTAGTCTTAGGAAGACAAACGTCAAGGTCAAATATGGGCCTTCTGGTGGATGACCTTGGTACTGCAGCAGAACTTCCGGTTTTTGTATCTTTTGTGCTGAACATGCTATGGTCTTGATGTTTTGGTGACAGATTGCTTTTCCTGTCAGGAATAAGTGGTGTGAGTTTGGTCCCCCTAGCAGCTTGTTTTGGAACTACAGGGCACTTTCTGGCGAAATGTTTAAAAGCCAATAAGTCCAGATAGGAACAACATATTTTTATAATTTTTGGTGTGTAAGTAGCTAAGAGTGAGATGTACATGATTAAATGCAAATTATGCAAATGAGGACTTTATTTGCATAATCAATGAGGAAATTCTATGATTACAGTGTTTTACATTATACTACTTTCATACATGTAATATATGTATCCTATGGCAGGCAGAACATCAACAGATACTAATTATGCAAATGATGACCTAATTTGCATAATTTATGCAAAAATTCTATGATTTCTTAATGGTGAAAAATGGGAATGTCATACTTTGGACATCTGTAAGTTAATCAAAAGTTAACATACATCACGATGCATATATCATGTTAATGCGGAGGTAATTTGCATAATTAAAGAGGAAATTTACATTTACATATCAAGCCCATATTTCATGGAGGTATGAAGTCTCGGAATTCTTGTTAGAAATGTCATTTGATAAGTGTTTGCTTGATTTGAACTACTAGAACAGTTAATACACCTTAACAGATTAAATACTCTTATACTACCTTATTATTTTTCTTCTTATCTATAAACCCAAATGAAAACATTACATTTTATTTCCGTTAACACTCTTTTTCACTATTATGTACGTTTCAAGTCTATGTATTGTATACATATATTACTTAACGTGTCAAATCTATCACTATTACATGGAACTAAAATGCAAACATGGCATTCTACCCTAAACATTATATGGCATAGTGACACCTAAAGTTTTCGTTAACGCTTTTTTCACTACACAGGTATAATCATGCAAATCTACTTAACATATGCTCACACCTTCTAATTATATCGCTGTCTCATTGACCTAAATTTCAACACTTAGCATTCAAGTAGTATAGCAACCCCTTTTCTGTAAAACAACAAGAATAGAATTCTAAAAAGAAAAGAAACTTGACTTTTCCTAGATTGACAAAAAATATGATAACCATACATCCCTAATCATCATGACATAATAGCATGTTTCCGCCGCATACAAATTCCGCTAGGTGTCGCTCGTTCATAGTCACCAGGCACTAATCGTCAACTAGGTTATCGATAGAAGGACGTGACACTTACTTAGGTAATAGTCACATATGCCGAGCTTAAGTGTGACGTGTTTTACGTCGCATGTGACATAAAATAAGCATAAAGGTCACGCATTTTGCCCCGTATTTTTGACCAAAATATATTGCCATAACAGCAGGAACCAATCTCATATGGGTCACACTTAGCCTGACTAAATCTGCGCTCCTAGCTAGATATATAGCGGCCGGCCCGGTATTACACCAGCCGCCCCCCAGGTCACACTGGACTGGTTTCGCTCCTGGGGCTAGGTAGTCTTTTCCACAACGTCCATCTTCTCTCCAAACGGCTATGGTAAAAAACACGGTAAACAAGGAAAGTATATGCCGTACTCACATATCAGTTTACCGGAAAATTCATGTCTGAATCACTACAAAAACGACACCGTTTCTGTAAATAACTGACGTATCTCCAGAATGTAATAATACCCTCCTTAAGACAAACATGCAGTAGATTAGCTCTTGAAATTTAGTATAGCTAGTATGAATTGAATCTGCTAGAATTGTATTTTAGTACAGTTCATACATTGTATCAGATGCAGTTGTTGGACAATAAAAATGTTTATGATTATTTAATGTTTGTGAAATACATATGCACCCACCTATTGTCAAAAATCATCTAATATACAAATGCAATTAGAGTATACCAGGCTTCGAGAGGCGGTTAAAAGAGTAGAAATTTGTTATATAGACAGATAACATGCCAGGGTTTCTAGAGAGTATAGTGTGCCACACTCGAACTATACTCTCCTCATCTCCAGTTCTATACATGGTGGCCACAGGATTGTAATAAGGGGTCCTATCATATTATATGGCAGCGATCTATAAGAACTAAGCTGTTAAAATCACCTACCTAAGTTGCAGCATAAGTAGAATGGGTGTTGTGCTGGACATAATGATATCTAAAATGCTGTATAAGCTGGATAAGAACATTCAATTTGTATTACTAAAACAGATCTGAGTAAAGTACCTTTTCTTTTGCTTGTTTAAGTAATTCTTTTGTGAATGGGTACGTTCAGTACGCTAGTTAGGTTGATTTCTTTCTTGAGTGACTTTGGTTATTTGTTTAGAAACCTCTGAGGCCAGTGAAAAGGCAGTCTGTGACGTGTCCAACCGCCAGCGGATGGGTCGTACTGAAGTGGAGCTGCTGAAAATACTGATTGATGGCATCAATTCCCTGAATCAATATGCCATATCGGGCTAGGTACAGCCACACAAATTCAACAATAGTGGTAAAATGCATATGCAAACAGGACTTCAAGTACTATCTAAACATAGCTTGTACACCTACTAATAAAACATAGGTAGTTTTTTTCGTATCTTGGTTATATTGTTGTTTCTAAGTTTAAACAAAAAAATCACTTGAAACACTTAATCACAAGGTCTAATAGTCTTCTTTTATTATCATTTAGAGTAATATGCATTTAAATAGAAAAGCTACCAAAAGACTTAACAAAATTAATCTGGTGAACAAATAAAAAACTAAATAAATAATCTACCACAAATTCAAAGTTTTTATTCTATATATTTTCATGATACATGTTATTTTCTTATTACTAACAGCACACCTTCTGTGATATATTTCTTTATCTTGAAACCTCGTGCTTCAAACTTAAGCAATCTCAACATATATGCTTTAACACGCCACTATTTATCGGCACCGTAAATACCTTATATGCCCATCCGGTTATCATCGAAAGCCATTTCCCTTCATATCTTAGCAATTACTATCTTAGTGAATTCCACTGTATTTAAACCCATAACAGAAGACAAAAATGAATATCTATTACTGACAAAATGAAAACAGGATAGCAGTTTGGGCACGATCGGATAGGAAAGAACCTGCAGTAATTTTTGACAATCTCAACCAGTGGTGGAAAGACTTAATACATAGTTGTAAATTAACAACCAGTTGTTTTATTAGGTGGCTATAGGTGAATGGTCAGGTAATGTTATTGTCATCATTTAGAAACGTCTTCAATTCTTTGTAACTGTCTAAGACATTTCATAGTTTTGAAGAATATTGAATATCTTCAACATTCTAAATAATTCCATGGTTTTGTAATAAAAACTTTTGAAATAATCCTGATGTGGAATATGACATTTTGAATAGTTTTTTTAATAATTGTAACAACATTCTACCATTTTTTAAAACATTATTTACAATTATTTGTAAACTTTTGGTCAGTGGCTGGGAAGAAGGTAATTCACACATCCCTATTAAGTACAGAGTAGTCTGCCTGGGCGTCATGCATGGCTTACTACAAAAGAGCCAATAGTATCCAACAGGTAGCCTGACAAAACCGCGGCCGCCCGCCCGAAGGGGATGGGGGTCATTCACCTCCGGCCGAGAGAGCTTGTACAACACAGGCTTAATGGCCGGGTGATATTTCATGAAGTTAAAAGTAGGTTGTACAATACTTGTACAAACTGCTATGTGTAGGGATTTTTTTTAAATCGGTTGTAAAGAAGCGCTAAATTTACTGTAAATTGGGACAACATTTACTGCAAATAAATGATCATTATCATTTTGTGACTAGAGGCCGTATCTCACCATCTGCCTCGTCATTTTTCTTGCTACCCCGAGTTCGCTGATTTCCACTATCTTGAATGTCGCCATTGTGATCCAGCTGGGCCCAAAGCTGCTCCTTTCCGCTCCCGAAGGTGCCAAAGAACAGGGCGGTAGCAGCGAACACACATGCCGTTATAATGATGACATAAGACCACTCCTTGGTCGACTGTAAGATGGTATTTAAGATGTTATATTTCTGTTATCCACCTCCTCATTTTATGATTAGTTTTAGAATTACGCATATTTTCATATTAACAGCTGGTTATTTTCACACTTATTCACAATTATCATCTCAGATAGAAACCTATGTGAAGTAGAACATACTATTGTGAAACAACGACATACCTAGTCTCCACTAGACTCCTTTTGCAGGCTGATAAGTAGTAGAAATTGTCCCAAAAAGGGAATGTATCGTGGGCAGAGGAGATGGCTGCCATAGAATCTCCAGCTTCCAAAAGTTGTCTGGTGGAGACTATAATATACCATATTATCTTTCGACTGAAACATGTCGATATATTTTACATACCTTATTCTTGGTAAGTGCTGTCACTACCAATGGGAATGCCAGGCCCGCAACACGACATAAAACTCGACAGATCCCCGATAGTACGCTGGCGTATCGTGGCGCGATGTCAAATGCATTGGCATCGGCAACTGTAGACGAGAAATTTGGAGCATGAGGGAATAGCATAGAAATTATCCGTAAATAATTTCATCAGGTTGGTAAATGACTGACAAGTTCTTTTTATCACAACCATTCATTTTTCACGAGCTGACGTTTCAATGACCGTCTAGGCATTATATTATATATAGAAACACTTTACATTTGGAACCGCATATTTCCCTATCATGTAACAATGCCTAGTATGTATGTCACAATTACACTACGTTCCGGAATGTATTGTAAACAGAAAAAAAACTAGCTTAAGTGCACTATGAACTATGTAACACCTTTAGTGCACTATGCACCAAGTAACATCTAGTGTCAGTGCACAGTGAACCAGTCAGAATTGCCCTGTGGAAGATGACAGACGGTCACCGAAACGTCGGTTCGTGAAAAATAAATGGTTGTGATGCAAAGCTTAAGAACTTTGCTATTCAACATAGAAATTAATATAAACATGTCAATGCACGTGGACTCTACATATATAAACTACAGAAGTCTGAATCTTGATTACTCATCCACGTATTTGCATCAAGATATTCCACGAGGACGGTATCTATATTCAAAGCAAACTGCCGCATAGAAAAAGTAAGCAGTTATTTAGTGACTTAACTATTAGAAAAGTCTGCTTCCGCACCAGTTACCATTGTGACAGACGTCTGGTCCAGGCCATTGACCGTATTTGTTTGGAATGAAAGAATAAGAATAGGAGGAAGAAACGGAGATATTTTTTTCCTTCTGCGAAGGTAAATATAAAAACCTACCTGCAGCCCTTGCTGCGGAAAATCCATAGCCCAAGGTGACGAAACAGGCCGCCACGACAGAGTCGGTTGTGAAGGCAGCCACGAAAAGACAACCGGCAACGCACAGGCAACCTACAGATGAAAAGAGGAGATCTAATAACCAGCAATTAAAAACCAAATAAACAATAGCTTTGACATACACTGGGTTGGTATATTTCAGATTGGACATCTGTTGTTTTTTGGAAAGAGGTAGGTTCTGCAATAGGTCACTGAATTGTTATATACCACTAGTTTCTGACAGGCCCTTTTTTTGCAAAATTCAGTGATATGGGTTTGTTTATTTGTTTATTTGTTTATTTAAATTTTTCACAAAGTGAAAGGGAGGGCAAAACAGGTGCGAAGCACTTTTGCTAGTTGCCCTCCCACATACAAAAACAACAAGAATGTACATTACACAGTCAACAATCTATAATACAAGTAGGGCACAAAATACCATATAAACATAATCAAGGTAACAACAATGAATGGAAGAGATAACCATATCGGAACGATATCTAGTGAGGTCTTGAGGCAATACAAGAGCTACATCCACACGAAGTGGTCCAGGTACATGGCAGATCAAGACTGTATTGAGTGTTGAATCTGTTGTAGGCTACTTTTGCCAGTTTATGTCTAAATGCTATGATATCAGACTGATGAGCGGCTCGCACACCAGTACCACGGAGGTCAGAACCTAACTTATTCCAGATAGTTACAAGTCTGGGAATGTAGGAGTGACTGAACGCTGACGTCTTAGATCTGACAGGTGTAAGCATGTACGACCTAAGACTCCTCGTGGGTCTGGTGGGAAGTGTGATATATTCCTCTATGATTGCTCTTGATTTGACAAATAACATTATATCGCATACCTCACGCCTACATGTAAGTGGCAACAGCCCTGTTGTTGCTAGCCTTTCCTTTTAGGTAAGGTGACTAGCCTGAGGGCCCAGAATGAATATGGTTGCCCGGCGTTGAACCCCTTCAATTAGAGACATAAATTTACGAGAATGTGGCGACCACAATGGGGAGCAATAGTCAAGAATGCTTCTGACCAGTGTGGTGTATAGAGCTTTCTTAACATCAGTGTTAGCATTGAAACCAACAGTCCGTTTGATAAAGCCAATCATGGAATTCGTCTTGGCAACCATTTTCACTATGTGGCTGTCCCACTGTAAGTCTGGCTGTACAATAACCCCTAAATCATTCATGCTGTCAACAGACGATACAATGGAATCAAAAACACAATATGTTAAAAGGATTCAATAGGTTAAAAGGATTCAATCATTTACACATGCTTAAAAAGTATGTTTTCTAATATTAAAATCTGATGCAATTTGATTTTACGTCGATGAAGGTTAGACATCCAGGTAATACGATATGCCAAAAAACAATTACTCAAGCAACTGGATATGATTTTGAAAACGTCAGACGTTTCAGCTAGTATCCACTAGCTTTCGTCAGTGACTGAGAGACCAGAGGGGAAAGCAGGTTTATATACACAACCTAGTGCACTTGGTGCAGATTGAAAAAGAGGGTAGCTGCTGACTTCTTTGACCACATCAACCAGATAGATGATAACATCAAGTTCACACAGGAGCCAAGCCATGACAACATGCTCCCTTTCCTAGACACCAAAACTATCGTAGAGGAAGATGGTAACCTTCGTTTCGAAGTGTACAGGAAACCAACCCACACTGATCAGTACCTGGCCTTTGATTCCCACCACCCTTTGGAACACAAACTAGCAGTGATCAAAACTCTCTTCCATCGTGCAGACAACATTGTCACTTCAGACCAAGC